ACAATAATTCGACGTCAATCCTTGACGCCGTTTTCCTGCATTAAAATGCCATAATTTCCGAATTTATCCTTGCATACGCTTTTATTTATTTTGTGTATTGCTTACATGTTATACAGATATTAGGATTAGTCCTCGCACACCACTCAACTGATTAGGGTTAGTCCTTTTAGTTTTATTAATTTAGGGTTAGTCCTCGCACACAAGTAGAGATAATAGGGTTAGTATCGCACCCACCCAAGATATCTAGGTATCTGTATAGTTGTCAGGCCTACACACTTTTCGAGCGATTAGGGTTAGGTAAGTACCTATCCGAGAGACAAGGGTTAGTTTTTGCAGAATGATAATTATTAATGCTTATTTAAAATTTTGGCATGGTGCCTCATTGTAGTTTGCCGCATTAGTATTATGACGTCATAAACGTAAATTGTTTTCAGCACCATCGCGTTTTGGCGTGTCACACCATCGGGATTTGGCGTAGACCATCGGACTTTGGCGTGACCATCGGGCTTTGGAGTCCCGTCGCACTTTGGAGTCCTACATATTTTATTGATAATGTGCAAAGAAAAAGACTTAATTGGTAGAAAATTAACTGGAAGTTAAGGATTTTTATGAAGTTTCAAATTAGGTATTAAGTATATCTTTGGTAATTCAAACCTAGTTCATAGAAATGGAGTTTGTACATGTCAATTTAATTTAAATATATAAGAAAAAATTATATGAAAAGGAATAGTTTTAACTTTTTGTCTATGATTGCTTCTGACAATTCACTAGTACGAGTAAAATTGTAAAGGTTTAATTTAATAACACGTTTCTTATTGTATCATTATACCCCCCGCTTGAAAAGCGGGAGGGTATATAGTAATCGTTAATTCCGTCCGTCCGTCCGTCTGTTACGCTTTGGGGTACCCATCTCTTATCCGCAACTCCTCTTATACCACTGAATAAAATTTGATGAAACTTTCACAGAATTTTTATTATATATTGCCATTGTGCACCTCCTATTTTAATTTTTGATCCGACACATATTTTGGGTTTCCCATAGCAAAACATGGACACTGCCATTTATACACATATGGGAGGCGGGGGGTATCATTTAGTGAGCCCATTGCTCACAGTACCTCTAGTTTAATTTGCATGCATTAATCCGAGTTAGTACATTGATGCTTTATTATATAATAATAAATGAATCAATGAGCATAAAAACTAATTCAATGCTCATAGTGACCATTTATAAAATATCAATTGTGTCTATTACAGAATCCAACAAGCACCCAATACGAAGATTCCTTTCACCAGGTTTGGCCGAGGGTCATGTAGCCTTCTATGCCTATATTTCGAAAGACTTCGGTGGAGTTGGCGTGGATCACGTTTTTCTCTATGATACTGTAGTAACAAATTACGGAAACGCATACAGCCAACATTCTGGAGCATTCACGGCGCCCACCACGGGAGTGTATGCATTTTCCTACACTATCTATGCTTCCGGTGAACATGTTGCTGGGGAATCGGGCGACTATGGTGAAGTGTCTGTCCAACTGGTTCATAACGGTGTGTATAAAGGCTCCATTCATGCTGATACGGAAGCAAACTGGGAAGAGGAAATGTCAACTGGATTCGCCATTCTAATGTTACAAGCTGGAGACGTTGTGCTTACAATGTCAAAAGGTGTAGGTCAAGGATCCTTTCACAGCAACGGGTCGGGAAGATGGTCCTTTGCAGGGTTCCAGATTGCTTAAACAATGTGTTAAACAATAAAATAAATATAATTAAACTTTTATTAAATTGATGCTTCTTTCAGTTCGCTTATTAATCGGAAGGTCTAGATCTAGGTTTGCTTCTCGTTAGCTTTGCCTCGTAAAACCTACAGCGTAAACATATATATAGTGACTTTTCCTTTGACAAGCGCCCGGAACTAGAAGTGAAAGGCGCATTTTTTTTCAGTTGCAACATTAAATATTGAGAATCCGTGACACAGCAGGCGTTGACACGATGAAAAAGTCTCTCACTGCTCCATGGTCCTTTTGAAATATTTTCAACATCTTTTTAAACAGTAGCAGAACCATAATAAACGTCTATATGTACTGTATTTTAGACAATTTTTATACCAATGAAGCAAATTTTTAGATACAGTTCAAACAAGTACTGAGTCGGCCATGTAGCGCAGTTGTTAGAGCGTCTGCTCCAGAGTCGTGAAGTAAGGAGTTGATCGATCCTTACGTCGCTGGTTCAAATACCGCTGTGGGACGTGGGGACCGGTCATTCGGATGAGACTGTATAAACCGAGGTCCCGTGTCGCAGTAGAGGCTGGCACGAAAAAAGATCCCTCCCTGCTCAATTGCTCTGAATGCCGAGTATAGGAAAAAAATTGCAGCTTTCCAATGCAAGTGCTGGCGTCTCCATATGAGTGAAAAATTCTCGAGAGGGACGTTAAACAACATACAATCAATCAGTCAATTAAACAAGTACTAACTTTTTATAATAAAATTCAAATGACATAAATCATTATAATATTAAACGTATACAAGCCAATTTCAATATTATAGAAAAAGGCATCAATATCAAAAGCTGACCAGGAGTACTACCCTCCCCTAATTTATTCCAAGTCATTTACCTTGGAAATGTAGTCCAAGGCATCTCATCCAAATGTACTTCATATAAGTATGAAGATATTAAGATATGTCACTCGTGAAATTTGTTAAATCAAGGATTTTTTGAGAAGTATATTTTTGATAAGTACTCATAAAGTGTAACTAAAAATCGCAGAGAAAATAGGGGGTCAGTGTGCATCTTACTGATCTACCGTAAAATTAAGTTGACCTTTTTGCACTTAAATTTTAACTCTTTGGTAAATTACTTTAACCTTTATTATATTTTATCAGATGTACCATGGCAATAAATATAATCTTATTTTACGTAAAATGGTTTCAATAATATTTAGTGTATTTATGTATATAAAGGAATTTATGTGATCTAAATACGTAATAAATTGCATATTTTTATTAATTAGCAATTTGTTTGAATTTATGGGTCCCGAAGGGTTTTTCCGGGTTTTATACCTAAGCGTCCTCTAGTAACGGCTATTAGCCTTATCCTTATCAGAATAACATTTCGGCTCCAAAATGTGGTTTACAAATTTTACCCACCACCACCCCTTCAATCCTCCATAATTATTGTTATTGTAGAAAATACATGTACTAGTTTCTTTTATATAAGGTGCCTTTGTTATTGCATAACTTTTGTTATTGTAGAAAATAGATGTAATAGTTTCTTTTGTTTAAGGTACTTACTGTTAAATTTGTAGAATATATATGTACTAGTTTTCTTTTGTATAAGGTGTGGGATGTTTTTTGGGCCCCACCTTCTGCTGCATTCTGATATTGTAAAATCTGTAATCTCATTTGGCATTTGTAATAAATGCTCTATACACACACACACCCTCTTTATTATTTAACATGCTGCAGAACAGAGCTGCAAATGTGCTTCAGGTTCACATGAACCGAATTGTTCATCAGTTTCAGTATTTAAGAGCACATAATCATTGAAAAAATTTTGCAAAGTAATGCGCGTAATTTTTTATGTGACCTTTTTGCACTAAAAAGTAACATTTGGGGGTATCAAAAACTAAAAAGCAATAAAACATTTTCTCATATCAAACTTTTTACGACTTAAGTGCTGACCAGTCACAAGTATTGAGTAGTTTAAAATAATGAAAGAAAAAGTTGGGGTCAGTGATGTTAATTTTGAAATATTGGTCAAAATATGTGATTTTCAGGCGAAAAATGGTGTAAATTTTATTATGACTTCTTTCACATATCTTCATATTTTGGCAAAGTTTGTTGAGGGAAGGTGTAAAACTTGTTCTAAAAATATAAATTAAGACCTATATTAAATATTCCTAATAATATCCTAACGGAAATGTTCTCCGAGTAAAAATATGTGCGGCTAAAGTTCCACGATGTTAAATTTAATAAATGTGCAGATTTGCAGAATTTTCTGCTAAATATCCTTCCACCACAAAAAGTAGTCCCTCATAAATCTGGCTTCTTTGCAGATTTTTGAGCATTTTTTTTTCGTTGACTGTTAAAAAATTTACATTGTTGAATTTTAAAATGTCAAAAAAATTGAATTTTAATAAATAGTTTTGAAGTAAGAGGTTCTGCGTGAACTTTTCTTAAAAGTTGACGAGTGACATACCTTAAGTTCCTTTTAACATTTGGAACTGAACTCTGGATTATATTCGAAATGTATTATTTTGCATATCCGTGAAGTGCATCTACGGGTATTATAAAATGCCTAAAATAAATGTATAATGATCAGAGGGATAGGTACACTTTACCTGACGGCCATTGTTTGGAAAATTAGGTCTGTGATAAGAAATCATTTTAGACATAGTGCATTTATCAGCATGATTTGTTTTCAAAGAGTGTGTATTTTTGTACTCTGTTCTGCTTTTATAACTGAAGGGAAATTGGAAAATGAAGAATGGAAAATTCATATGGAAGAGAAAATGGAGGAAATGTTCCTATTGATAGAGAGACAAAATGCCGTCATTGAGAGACAATCTATAGAAATAAAAAATCTAAAAAGCAAAGTCCATTTCCTTGAGAGTAAATCTGGATTGGGTATTGTGGAGGACCGAACGGGCGAAGTTAATAACAACAAGATCAATAAAACAGAGGGGAATGTCGGAAATGTGGATGTTAAGAGACCAATGCATGACGCCGGTAGAGTTTCTATTTCATTTTTCTTCACATGGTGAAAGCCAATGAATATTCAAAGATTAAAGTTATTTAGATATTTTCCTTTAACGCTGAGACATACATTCAGGCTTCGTGATTTTATTATCATATTATATTAAATCAAACTATCAAACTGGATAACAATATCATCTATATGGATTGACAATGAACTCGGATAAGACACCTGCTGATCCTAATCATGAATGTAGGACTATTTTAAAACGGTGTTTATTGGAAAGGGGTGCATTGAACCATAAACTCCCGGAAGATTTAGTAATATGAGGGTTTTAATAACATCCCTACTAATGTGTTCGGAACCTTTTATTTTTCGGTATTCTGCAAATTAGAAGACCTCTCTGGCGAGAGTTAGCGAGACTTCAGCGAGATAGGGTAAATTATTCATGGAAATGGGGCTAGGAAGTGACTAGCACGTGGAGACATCGTAAACAGAAAAGTTATGTTGCGTTTCAGTTTTTACCACCCTAGAATCAGCTGATAATGTCTGTAGAAAAGTACTTCAATCAAACGATTTCTCTTACATTTATTCAAACTTAAATAAGTATTCTCTATAATGCAATTTTTTGCAGTCATGAATTCAAATTTCTTTTTGAAAAAATATTTTTGCATGGGAACCGGGACTATATTTTTTGGCGTCAGATTAGCAAATGAGGCACCAACATGATTTTAACTGACCAGCAGCTGAATGAGTATTGCATTATGGGTTACTACGAAAACTACAGGAATTTTACGCTTTAAAAAAAGGGGAAATCTTATTGTAAATAAAAAAAGCATTTTTAAAAATATTATGTTCATGCTCATAATGACAAACACATTTGTTCAATAAACGGTGGAAGTCTAGGTTTCTGAAAGTCATACTGCAAAAGCGATTTGCATCTGTATTAATTCCTTTGTTGTACTATCGGTGCAATCGCAACTTCTCGGGCTTTTCCGACTAGCGGAAAAACGACCTCGAATGTATATGGTAGACGCCATGACAACCCTCCCTTTTCACGATCTTTGAAATAAATGCATGGAGACCTTTCATCTGTGGAATATGGAGTTTAACTTTATTCAATGTAATGATATTACCTAAAATATACTATAGAAGGGACTTCTAACTCCTTCTATCCTATATTTGAATAAACAGGAAATGTATAAATTTTTAACATCCGGCGATGTTAATACATTCGAGGTTGTTTTTCCGACCTCTGACGGAATGATCCGAGATGATGCGATTGCTATCGGTGAATACAATTGCCAGGTGGATTCCCTGGCCAAACACGTGATCACGAACGTAAAAAAAGTTTTGTCCATTTAAATGCGTAATAGATGCTGCCCGTTTTCCTTACCCTTGAAGCGCTGGTGTTCTGAACTAGACACGAACTACATTTTATTAAACATTTTTTCCAGTAAACAATAAATTAAAAACGCCCGTAACATCTTTAATAGTTTCTTATCTTTTTATTTTGTTCTTAAGAACATTTTTTATTATTTTGTATTCCATTGACATGATCATAGATTGACCTGAACCACGTGTTCGAAGTAAAATGTAAACATGTATTTGACGTAAACGTTGCTATTCATTCCAACGATTGGTCAGTTGCTCGTGGTAAGATCCTCTGTACGCATTTATAACAATAGCCATATAAGACAAACAAAGTTTGATAAAACACATTTTTTACCAGCGAATCGGTCACTATTGAGCTCTTATTTTCGCCAAAAAGTATAAGATATATTGTTATTTTAACACCCCCTCCTTTAGCCAACCCCTTTCTGTTGAAAATCATGAAAGTCTTTCAGAAAGATCTGGAAACATTTATTACAGGACAAGTTTTCAAAAGAAACAGGCTATAGCAATACATGTATCCTATTTACTGCCAATTTTATTCATAAACCGGTTCTACCCTATAACCTTCGAATAGATTAACCTAAGCCACGTGTCTTGAATTTAAATCACAATAACATTAGTAGGGTGAATAAGTCGGACACATTTTTCGCAAAGTAATCCTTAATATCCGTAAAGAAAAATTAATTACGTGTTACAGGGTTTCAATTTTATCCAAATGAGGGTAATTATTCATCTGTAAAAGTTTGTCACTTGTTACATATGTGCTTGACTTTTTCTGTAAAAGTACAACTGTAAAAAAGACTGATCGCGAGACGTTTAAGAAAAATATTTTAATTTGAAGTGCTCTCTGGGCACATTCATTTCATTCATGAAAATATATGAAATTAATAATAAACATTGATTTAATAAAAAAAATGAGAAACATGTGTTTTTTTTCATTATGTCAAATAACATTTATTTATCACATATTATATTATTACAATTAATATGCACCTCTTACCAACTGTACAAAAAAATTGCAAAAAGAATACTCTGTTCTACCTAAAAAGAAAGGGGGGGTCACTAAGAGTGTTACAGAATGACCTCACGGGACAGCGGGTTGATGTTCAATGGCCAAATTTTGGTAAATGGAACATTAAAATATTTATTGTCTGACTTCGAGGGCATTATGTATTTTGTCGGATCCAAGAACCAAACTGTTTGCATGAGTCCGTTAAGCTGAAAGCAGACATTTTGGTTCTTGGATCCGACAAAACACCTGTTGCCTTCGAAGTCAGTCAATAAATGTTTTGCAATACTTTTCATTTTAATATTTTTTGACATACATGTATCTTGTACTGTCTTCCTTGGTGTAAACTAAACCCCCAGCTGCGTCACTATTCAACGAATGCAAATGAGATTAAGCCCCGGACACCTATTGTGTGACGTAAATTTACAATGCTCTCACGTTGAATCGATATAACTGTATAAAATATGGTGATCAAGCTGAAAAATTCGATGTTTTCACATTGATTTGATATGTTTGCAAGTAAATTAACTGTAAGAATATGGAAAATAAAACATTTTACATCGGTTAAAATTGAATAAGTATGAATGAACAAATTCTTATTTTCTTTGATTTGCATCGGTGAGTTAAGACAGTGGTGCTTATACAAATATATGTAAATGGAATGTATTATGAAAAAAAAGAGAAAAATTGAATGCATCAATGAACATGTGTACGCTGTACTTACAAAATCTAATGATTCAACACTTAAAAACTTTGGAATTTCAACTTTCTATTACAGAAACCAAAAGGAACCAAATACGAAGATTCCTTTCACCAAGTTCGGCTGAAGGTCATGTAGCCTTCTATGCTTATATTTCAAAAGACTTCGGTGGAGTTGGTGTTGATCACGTTTTTCTCTATGATACTGTGGTTACGAATTACGGAAATGCGTACAACAAACACACCGGAGCTTTCATGGCGCCCACCACGGGAGTGTATGCATTTTCTTACACCATCTATGCTGCCGGTGAACATGTTGCTGGAGAGACGGGCGCCTACGGTGAAGTGTCTGTCAAGCTGGTTCATAATGGTGCGTACAAAGGCTCTATTTATGTTGACACTGAGACGCAATATGAAGAAGAAATGTCAACGGGATTTGCCATCCTCATGTTGCAAGCTGGAGACGTAGTATTGACGAAGACAACATATAGAGGTCAAGGCTCCTTTCACAGTAACGAGTCCGGAAGATGGTCTTTTGCTGGGTTTCAGATAGCTTAAACAATGTATTACAGTATAAATATTATTAAACTTTCATGAAAATGACACTTCTTTTAGTAATAAATAAACAGGTAGCGATTTTTCCTTCACCAAGCCCCCGTAACTAGAATGAAATTCACCGGTCTTTTGGAAGAGACCTTAAAAACTTAGAATTCATGTCACTGTAGGCGTTCACACAATTAAGAACTCACTTCTCAGTGGCCCAGTGGGCGCTGCGTATATAAAAGTCTAAATTTAAAGCCCTTGACAGATACTGTAAACAGCTATTATTCGCGTCTTTTGTTCCAAATCGTGAGGTGGAATTCAATTCGCAACGATTAATTTTCGTGACTGAGGAAACAGTCCCTTCAAATGCGAAGCGAAATGAATTATTCGCGAGGTATAACGTAGGGTGCGTCATTAAAAAATTATTTGCTAACAGGGTTATAAAAAACCATATAGTTTTTTAAATGTTGACTTTAGACGAGGTAGTTTAAAACTCTGTTACATCAATTTATATCTCAGCAGTTTGATTTTAAAAACGAAGGCGTTCAAGGCATGCTTCTGAATATTAAACCATTAACATAAAAACCATATCCAGCCCTCTTTACTCCTCACTAAGATATTAACATTGAAGGCGAAACTTCAATAGTACTGTGCAACAATATATTAAAATTTTGCTCAATTTGTGCAAATTTGTGCAAAATGTTATGCGTGAAAAGAATAAAACACTTGTTGTGGCCTTCAACTCGATATTTAGATATCTCGACGACGTATTAACAATTATACAATAGTTATTTCCATTCGTATGTCGATACGATATATCCTAGTGAGTTTGAGATAAAAGATACCACACATCTGTTTCATATTTGGATATTTTACTTTAAAATAGCAATCTAACAACCAAGCTCTATGATAATTGTGATGACTTTAACTTCAATCGTCAACTTCCCTTACTAATGCAGAAATATATACCTTCCTCACCTGCATACGGAATTTATAAAATTGAGTTGATTCGATACACAAGAGCATGCTCTACGTATGAGTAAGTTCTAAAACGAGGTAAATTATTGACATACAAGTTGATGAAACAAGAATATGAGCAGTCTCATGAAAAAGTCATCATTTCGTAAGTTCTATGGTCGAAACAATGACCTTGTCAGTAAATACAATTTATCATTGAGTCAAATGCTGACCGACGTTTTTCATACTAATTATTAATCCATAAATTATACACTGAATTGAGGTCGGATTTTCCCGTTATTTCCCGATAATGACAAGGAGAACACGGCGGGTGATTAAAGATTCTTTATATGTATTCCTATGTTAAACTTTGATACCCCACTCTGGCCCCACCCTAACCCCGGGGGTCATAATTTGAACAAACTTGAATCTACACTACCCGAGGATGCTTCCATATAACCATGATCAATCATTGCTTTGCTGTTCATGAGAAGATTTTTCCTATGTTTTCCTTTGTTAAATTTTGATCCCACATTGTCCCCCCACCACCACCACCACTGAGGTTTATGATTTGAACAAACTTGAATCTACACTTTCAGAGGATACTTCCATATAACTATGACCAATCACGCCTACGCTATACTTGAGAAAAAGATTTTTAAAAGATTTTTCCTCTGTATTTCTGTGTTAAACTTTGATACCCCATTGTGGTCCCACCCTATCCCCGGGGGTCATGATTTGAATAAACTTGAATTTTTGCTACCAAAGGATGCTTCCACACAAGTTCCACATTTCCTGGCCCAGTGGTACTGGAGAAGATTTTTAAAGATTTTACCCATGTATTCCTATGTTACATGTAAACTTTGATACCCCATTGTGGTCCCACCCTATCCCCGGGGGTCATGATTTGAACAAACGTGAATCTACAATACCTGAGGATGATTCCACATGAGTTTCATATTACCTGGCCCAAGAGTTCTTGAGAAGAAGATTTTTAAAGATTTTCCCTATGTATTCCTATGTAAAACTTTGATCAGCCATTGTGGCCCCGCCCTACTCCTGGGGATCATGCTTTGAACAAACGTGAATCTACCCTACCTGAGGATAATTCCACATGAGCTTTCCTGGCCCAGTGGTTCTTTAGAAGAAGATTTTTTAAAGATGCCATTAAGTTTTCATTAATTCATAATTATCTCCCCTTGGAAAAGGGCGTGGCCCTTCATTTGAAAAAACTTGAATCCCCTTTATCCAAGGATACTTTGTGGCAAGTTTGGTTGGAACTGGCCTAGTGGTTCTTAAGAAAAAGATGAAAATGGGAAACGTTAACGACGACAACAACGACAACGACAGACAAATGACAAATTTTGATCAGAAAAGCTCACTTGAGTCTTCGGCTCAGATGAGCTAAAAAGGAAAATCAGCGACGGAACATATGGAGTCATACCATACTCATAGACTAGAGTTGCTCATTAATATATATACATGAACATGTCTAGTCAGTAAAAGTCCGAATATTTAACAGATTTTGTACATATGTACTAGCATTTCATAGATTTCGTTGTCGATTTGATCCGTTGATAAGAGGATATTCATTCCTCCAAGGCACCTGATCAAACCTCTTGACTTTACACAGAGTGTGATTTATGCACTGAATTTAGATTTGTATTGTTCCGTAGTTTCTCGCTCTTTTAATTACACATGTACGAGGGTTGTCCCGTAAAATCGTGGACAAAGCGTTTTTCTCGAAAAGTAGTGGGCGCACTAAGCTGAAAATTTCAGTAAATGTTTATTTATCATATTTAAGTGCATGATAATTTTTTGATAAAATATAGGAAAAAATAAAGATTTTATTATGCTTGAATGTGCACGAGGTATTGTCCTACGGCGCACGGTCAAAAAACCAAGGTTTTCTGAAAGAATACACAAGTTTGAATTCAAAATAAAAGTTTTAAATACATAAGATTTGGATTAAAATTATCCTAATTCAATTCCACAATCAATTTTGTAGTCTTTGTAAAAATTTTAAGGCATTTGCTTAATTTTTGGCAGTTTCTCGAGCATTCGAAATGGGAAAGTGGTAAACACAACACACGAAAAATGACGACGTTTTATGACGTTACGGCGCACCGGAGAACAGTTCAGTTTTATTTGGATGTTGAAATGAACCTTTAGAGACTTGAAATGATCATAGAAGAAAAAAGATTATAAAAATATCACCATATCTTAAGTATACAAATGAAATAGGAGTTTTCTTAGCGAAGTTTTTTTTATCGAGTCCCTGGGGAGTACAAAACATACGGACAAACTCCTAATGTAATAGCAAAAGACGCTGTCACAGTAGACCGCCGATATGAGATTTTCTATTAGTTGAATGATGGTGAGAATATTGTCCGTAACTTACTAATGAATCTTCAGAAGATGGCATGAGGGTGCCAGTTGGTTCTTCGACTGTTTATGGAGACGAAAGAATGTGTATCAATGAAATTCCTAAATCTAAGTCGGACTCATCCAACTTCATTTTCAGCAAAGATAAAACGTGACGCTGTTTTAGACACTTTGACGTTATAATCCGTGCGCCGTAAGGTGATACAATACATTGCATAAAATCTCATAATTTGTTTATTTATGCATATATTTATCTGAAATTTGCTTTGTATATTGCTAAAATATGTACTAAATAATAGTGAAAATTTCGGAACGCAGTTCTGTTTATTTTTCACACTAGACAACTTGTCCACGATTTTACGGGACAACCCTCGTATATAGATCCATGAGTGATCATTCAATACTTACTTTTGATGTGGAGATAAAACTGTTAGGTTACAAATATTTTTATTAAGTGAATCATTCGTTTAAAAAATTAGTTTGCCAAGAACTTTGGGGGAAAAGGGGTTTCAGTAGTAGACCTAAAGAAATTTTTGTTACATGCCCTTATTCATTTAATAAAATTTGATAAAACAAATCACATCCTGTTTTCTTTTTTTCGGAAAACAGATGAAGGGGTCTCAATATGTTGCAACGCTTACATATGTGAATTCGTATCGATGGCATGTTCCGGAAAGTGCATATTTTAAAATTGTTCAGTGAAAAGTATCCATCAAATAACGTCTGTGACTGTTGAATTAAAGTTGATGGTCTGTAAGAGGAACATTTCTAGTTCATTGCATTATAACAACATGGGTTTTCTTCAAAGGGTGTTTATTTTTGTGCTCTGGTCTGTTTTTGCAACGGAAGGAAGACTGGAAAATGAAGAATGGAAAATTCAGATGGAACAAAAAATCGAGGATATCCTATTATTGATAGAAAAACAAAATGTCTTAATTGAAAAGCAGTCCAGAACCATTGAAAGACAGTCGATAGAAATAAAACATCTAAAAAGCAAGGTCCTGTTACTCGAAAGCAAGATAGGATTGGCACCTACAAACAACCAAACGGACAATTTCACCAAAGCAATGAACGTCACAGAGAGAAATTTAAAAGATAGAAATGGAATGATCTACATGCACGATACAGGTATAGTTGATAATGCTTTAGCTCAGCTGAACTAATAGCTCTCAGATATATTTGTAAAAAAAAACGGTGTTGTGTCCTATCTTATTATAAAACGATTCTTTTCCCAAAATTTCCATTTTCTCATGTTGTAGGTAAATCTTTAGGTATTACTGGTAAAATCTTTTTACTTTATGATCTAGACAACTCGCTGATATTGTGTAATATATTTATTAATAATAATAACTGGTCTAAAGATATACATTAAGATTTTTACTTTCAATTATATCATTTTAGGCTAATTCACTGTTTTCAGTAAATACGACAACAAACCACAAAATGAACTTTAAAAAACATCTTTTTGAACTAATAAATATTTATATTTTGAAATCAATAAATGTAGGACTCTTGATTCATTTGTGTATATTACAGAAGCACAATTGCGGGGAACACGTAGATCTCTTCTACAAAGTAATGTTGCCTTCTATGCCTACATTTCCAAAGACTTTGGAGGAGTAGGTAAGGGTCACGTTTTTATCTACGATACTGTGATAACGAATTACGGAAACGCGTACAGCCGACACACCGGAGCTTTTACGGCACCTGCTACGGGAGTTTATGCCTTTTCTTACACTATATATGCTGCCGGTGAACATGTGGCTGGAGAGTCGGGCGACTACGGTGAAGTGTCTGTCAAACTGGTCCATAACGGTGCGTACAAAGGCTCCATCTATGCTGATACGGAGGCAAATTGGGATGAAGAGATGTCTACGGGGTTTGCCGTCCTTATGTTGCAAGCTGGAGACGTCGTGCTGACAATGACAACAGGTGGAACTCAAGGCTCCTTTCACAGCAACGAGTCTGGAAGATGGTCTTTTTCTGGGTTTCAGATTGCTTAAACAATGTATTGCATAATAAATAAAAGTATACTTTCGTTGTAAAGACACCTATTCATATTGTAAAATCTTTGCATGAATTATTCACTATTAAAAAGTAATGCCTTTATTGCTTCGTTGAACCTATCGTGACGCGGACCTTTATTTTTGCTATACACCAATATATTGCAATTCTGGTGACAGATTTAGAAAAAATTAAAAAGACTTTGAAATCCTGAATCCGCAGTCCTTAAATTACCCAAACTTATGATATATCGTGACCGTTCTACGAAACCTGTTGCAGTTGCATGTCTTAATTTTATACTCTTAACTCTCCCCGTACATATTGTAACTCTTTAATGCGCGAAGGTGAGAAAATAAAAAGAACTTGTGAATTTGAATTAGTTTGGAACCGCTTAAAGGGCTTTCATATCCTTGTGTCTTTTCTAGCCCGGAGCTTTTTAGTATGTAAAAGGTGAAGATAAGAGCGGTTATCGCTCTCAAAAATCTATGGACAATACAAATATGAGACGATGACATAAAACACGGACCCCTGGATATTACAAAGGTTCGATCAGATGCCCGAGAGGAGCAAGCATTCCCTGTTGACCGGTCACAACTGCCGTGAGACTTGTGTATTGATCAAAGTCGGAACTTTCCGTTGTCAGAATTCAGTATTAAACAAGTGTCTGCTTTAGAGTTGCAGAGTAAAGAGCTGATCCTTACATCGCGGGGTCGAATTCAATGCAGGACGTGAAGACCGCTCCCTCGGATGAAACCGAGATCACATGTCGCAGTAGGTGGTTATATACGAAAAAATCCCTCACTGCTAAATGGCCCTAATTGTCGAGTATAGGTATAAATTTGCAGCGCAATCCATTGGCAAATTGTTTCTTCTCCGTACATGAGTGAAAAAATCTCGAGATGCACATCAAACATTAAACAAACATAACTAATGAAAGTTGACGATTGAAAAAGCAAAGTCATGCATTTTAGTTACTAAATATCCTTTACCGTATACAGTCAGTAAAACATTCAAATATGACAGAGATGTGACAGATTCTTAGTGCTCTTTATTTCAAGTCTACATGAAAAAAGTCTGAATGAAAACTAAAAAAAAGTTATCATTATATATTGATAACAATTAGTCTAGATATACATGTATCTCAATGACAAACTGAAGGCCATAACAATATTTGTCGTCTTCTCCTGTACAATTTTTTGAATAAATTTTGTTCATAGGAATATAAAAACTGGTCAGCTGATAAAGGAGCACAATTTGTGCCCATCGAAATTCCAAGACTCGCATTATTCACATTATTCACAATTACATGGTAAATTGCATTGTATCATTTTGCCATAGCCTTTTGTTCACTTTCCAGTAAAAATACATGCATGCTATTTTTACAACCACTGATATTTTTATGCATACATCCAGGAGTGACATCTGCTCTGAAGGTTAGCTTTGGGTAGAAGAGTGTTGATTTGATTTTATTCCGGTTTATAGAACCAAAGGAATTAAATTTATTTGTTATATGATTATTATTATCATTTGGAAGAAGATATTTACATCCTGTTTTATTTCGTTCAAAATACAGATTATAAGCTACATGTAGGGACTCAATATGTTGCGAAGCTAAAATAAACAGATGTAAGTCGCAACAGTTGCATGTCCGGAAAGTGCATAAATATTTTCAAAATGCGCAGTAAAAATAAAAGATCAGATGGACACTCTGGTGAAATATAAATGACGGTCAGTTTAGTCAGGACTATAAAAACGATTTTAGTCTACATTTTAACAATAGGTTTTCTTTAATGAGTTCCGTTTTTGCATCTTAAGGAAGATTAGAAGAAGGGGAATGGAAAGATGATTTGGAACAAAAAGTTTGAGCAAATTTTCCAATTGATAGAAAGGCTAAAATTGGTCATTAAAATGCGGTCTTTAAAACAACATAATTTTATGCAATTTGATATGAGAAGTAAAGTTATATAGTTGTAAACAAGCTCAAAATTCCATTTGGAACAATACAGATTTGAAGGAGAGCAAAAACGGACCGCCTAAATCCTCAGAGGTGGAATCAAGTGACATTGAGGAGTGAGCATCCTCTGTCGACCAGTCACACTCGCCGTGATATATGTCTAATTTATATATATACTTCTCATGATTAGACAAATAGAAAAATCCGTAGATAATTCAGTGTGAAAATAACGACCTAACAATTTGTATATATGTAAAACGCTAGACAACATTTTAAACGATAGTTTTTTTTTTCTAAGAAGGACATTGTACATGTATCAACCGTATAATTTGGGGAAAAGACTTTAAACGGGGATTTTTATATCCCTTTATTATCAACTTATCTGGTAGAATCGGAAAATTAATTAGTTATTGTTTTTATGCGCCCGCATCGATAGATCGGGGCGTATATTGTTTTTGTTCTGTCTGTTTGTCTGTTTATCTGTTTGTTTGTAAGTTTATCTGTCTGTCTATTGTCAACTTCAACCTTCGCCATAAGATTTGAACCATGAGAGATAACAACTTCATATTTGGTATGCTTACTCCACTAATAAAGCTCTTTTAAATGACATCAAGCTCAGTGACCTTGTGACCTTGACTGTGACCTTTATGCAAAAAATAAGACAGAAACTTCATATTTGGTATGCATACTTCAAATGACACCAACGTCGATGACCTGGTGACCTTGACTGTGACCTATATGCTAAAAATATCTTTTTCGAACGTACGCCATAACTTTTAAACCAATAGAAATAGAGACTTCATATTTGGTATGCATACATCACTAGATAAGTTCTTTCAAATGACACCAAGGTCATTGACTTTGTGACCTTGACTTTGACATATGTGCTAAAAATAGCTTTTTCAAACTTTGTTGCCGCCGGGCGCATAGTGTTTCACAAACACATCTTGCTTAAATGATATATTCGAAAGGCGATTGATTTAAATTGAATCAATGAATGTGCAGTTACAGAAAAGTAGAACAAAATTGAAATATTTTTTGTAACTCTGTTTATCTCAACTTATTCACAAAAAAAAATACTATATTTCCATTTGAAGCTAATGTTATATTTCTTCATTAAAATTAATGTTGGTAAGTATGAATTAAAAAAAAATAAATAAAAAGAAGGAAAAAAACATGAAATTGAAAAATTGTCATTTTCCGGTAATATCCGAACAGAAATATTGCGTCTGTATCTGTGTTAAAGATGGCGGCCAAAACAAATGCGGTGGGATTGAGAAAAATAACAAAACCTGTTATAAGTACTGATGTAATGGGAAACAGGAATGTAGAAATTCGAGCAGTCGGGGCTTGGGTCCAGCCAGCGTATTCCGTCCCAGCAGAAGGAGTGGTATGATTATTTTCTTTTAAATATGATTTCTTTTGGATTTCGTCTATTCGTGCATGTTCGATCATGCTCAGGGGAAAGGCAGTTCAGATTAACATGATTAATATTGAATTTTAAAACATAAAATGTAAAATAATTTGAATGTGAATTAAATTCCCAACAAATTCTGCAATATTACAGAAATATGACAAACCAGGATAAAGACTGGTTTTATTTTAAACTGTTAAATATGTATTGATTCAAGGAAAAGAAAGGCCATGTAAAACAGGGGTGTGTTGATTCACCCAGATGAACCCTAATGGACTTAGCTAGCGACGCAAATGACTAATTTAAGACTAAAAGATACCTTAGATTATGAAAAATATATGCAAAAATTTATTTGCAATTTTTAAAAAAAAAAAAGTTTAAAAAAAAGAATAAAGTACGTATTTTTTCTATGAAATATTTTGAATGTTTGTAATAAACATATAAAACTGATTTTATTCTAAATTTATAAATGAATTTTGATTTTGATAATAAGTCTATAGAAGTCCACTTGGTTGTGTCATAGATAGAACGTTCTATCATTAAAATGATATTGTCCTACGGACCCGGTAAGGGCTTGTTTGCACACAGTTTGATTATTCTAACTAGTTGGGTAATTGTTTGGGGCCATTTGGGTAAATCAATGCGCTGGAATAGTCCAATCCACACTTTCAAAAGTTGTTTCCCTTTGCGGGGTCAACCAATAGATCAAAAGGGAAAGAAACGTCATTTCTCCTCTTTATGCTAGCAAATTTGGGCGTGCTGTGATAAATCCATTGTGTTTAATTTTTTTCTTTCAATGTGTGGGTAGCCCCATCTTGGGACAATCAGTACACAAAAGGCAAAGGTTTTTAGAAGTCAAATGATGAAGTTACAAACCTGAAAACTACAAAGGCTACTGTGTGGATTGCATGGTTTTATCCCCAAGATGGCGGCCAAGGGACATAACTTTTGAAAAAAGTGCATTGGAGAAAAACAGTGCATAAGAAAATTTAAAACAAAATGTTTTGATTGATGAATTAAACATACTGTCACAGTGTGTAGTTAAAAATGACTTTAAATATTTTACAACTGGCAAGAATGTACAAGTGTTGTCTAAGGGTCTTGTCTATCCTGTCCTACTGCAGCTTCTAGAGGTTCACAGTGAAATACTTTTGACAAGATACATAAAGAGTGTAGGGACATTAACCAAGACTAATACCTGTAGGAGTAATCCTGTTTCTGGCTTGGCTTCAAAGTATATCAAAAGTAAATTAAAAAGACACAATTTGTAGTAATATTATTTCCTAATCAGTGATAATAACATTGTTTTCCTAAAATATGTGTCATCCCAGTTATCTTCATCAACAGGTATATGATTCAAGTCAAATATTTTGAAATATGAAACAGTACGGTACCCTAAATGATATATGCTCAACATTAAATGCTCAGTGATATAAATAGCAAGTGATAGCAATGCAAACAAATTTTCTTGAGAATCCGTAACATCTTAATGATATTTGGGATGCATTATGTATGTCATATTAAACATATTTAAAGGTATAATTTAGCATCATATGAGCTGTGGACAATAATGTTTTATCCCTTGTCTGAACACACATTTTTGAGCATGCATTTGCATAGTTGCCAACCTCCAGCATGTAAAAATCTGGTCATGACCAGATTTGGAAAGTAAAAAATCTTGTCATAACGCGTAACGACATTCACGACATATTTACCATGATTAAATTTTATACATATATATACAAAGTATTTGTGCAATAAGAATTCTTTTATTGAAAAAGGCTTCACTTTACAATGACAAAAAATTCATACATACATAATTTGATTAATAAATTTACATGTTAAAAAAGAGAACTGAAGGTTTCATATTTCAGTATTGACCTGAAGTAAGTGTAATTTTGTTTTTGAAAAAAGCCTTTTCAGTTTCTGCTAAATTTGAAAGTATACCAATTTCAGTTTTGAAATTATTTTTCCTCTCTCTTAATTTATTAACTACTGCAATATGTATTAAATGTGAAGTTAGGCCTCATGCGTCCTCCGGGGCACGAAGAGGATAAGTAAGTAGGCCTATACACTGTCTTCGATCACTTTATTTTATATAGATTCAATTTTTTTTCCAAGATTCCTTGATATGTACATAGATATTGTTTCACTTTTTCTTGGTTCAATCAGAGACATGTGTTTGGTTCAATTTGTTCCTGCTGGCCCTGATAACGATCTAGTTTTACCGGAAGCCATTTTAATTGACTTCAAACATTGATTTGTCAAAACAACACCAAGTTAATTGTTTACACCTGCACTGATAATTAATCCATCGGCATTGTTTAGGTAGATCTAAGCTTGGGTTGTAACTGGAAGTTAAAAGTGCAACCTAGTTTACGAACCAAATCCGGAAATCGGGAGATTTTCGGGTTGCTCAGCAAAAATCGGGTGAAAAGCATGACCCGCCGGGTCATAAAAAATAATCGGGTTACGGGTTGAAAAATCGGGTGTGACCCGACGAAATCGGGTGAGTTGGCAACTATGCATTTGATCATGTTGATCGAAAAACAAGAAATATGTGATAAGTTGTTTGACAAGTTTCAAATAGGGAACCAATTAGGCGTGCAATCTAAGAAGTTTTCAAAGCAGTCCACTTCAAAATAGTTCAGCCTTTCAAAGAAACTTTTTTATTATAGCAACCAAGTAAGTTGACATGGGCACTCATTTTACTGATGAATCTCATATACACGAGCGGTAATTCCCAAGCAATTTGACCATAATTTAAAAATATCCATTGCAACACATTATCAGTTGAGGTGCCTATTAGAAATGTTAAAATAAATGATTACCTGTTACTTATATAATTAATGGTATTCTCAATGGATAAAGAGAAATAGCAGTTATATTTACAAAGAAGAAAACAAAAGAAACTGAACATATTAAAGTATTTAACATGTGTTTAATAACTCTTTAATTGGGTATTCGGAAGTAGTAAAATGACAATACCAAAATATTTATACCATGTCTCCCAGTGATCTAATTAATTTCAGCAAGCTTTTGCTGTTTGTTAAAATACATATCATGCTTACATGTACTTTTACTTTGATAGCTGAAATGTTATTATATATGTGATGAGGTCATTTACAGCTGATTTTCTGCAGACGAAAGGGTCATGGTGATTCAGTTTTGTTGCATTCAAAAAGTATAGCTAAACTATTTTAAGTAATATATATATTGGAAACAAACGCATCAAGAAATCATAGCATCCCAGAATTCAAACACACATTAATAAGCCGTCATAAGGTATCAATTTACATTTATGAATTGATTAATTATCAGCTCTTAAAGTATGAATTAATTATTTGGAACTGATGAAAATCCAGAACTGATCAAAGGACTATATGGATGTAACTTGTGCAATATTCAGTGATAGGGAAGTATTATTATTATTTACTCTCTATTAAAAAGAGGAAAATAGGAAAAAGTAAATTGTCATTCCCCAAAACCATAGCTATTAGCACCTCTATTATACATTATGTAATGTGAATCAATCATTTCTGCACTTTAAAGGCTGAAATTCCCACATCAGAAAAAAATGTACGTACAGTGCAACACCAAGTACACATATATAGTCTCCAATTTCCAAGAAAATAGTAAACTAGTGCTAATTGTAACGGTGACCGTTACAGATGTTCCCCAAACGCTCCCCAACTCCCTTTTATAGTCATATTCCCTGTAAGCGTAATTAAATAAGACAAACTTTATGCATTTGAAACTTTAACAAAGTTTACCCAGATGTGTACCATGTTCATTCAAATTTTATCATTGCACACTTGCGCATGTTAATGCATGTGCGTAATGACCATATCATATTCGTTACACAATCAATATTTTAATATGCTAAATATTAAAGTATTTAATCTAAAAGTATAAAAAAAAAAAAAAAAAGCTCATTCAAGTGTATTTTTGATTTTACCCATTTCACGTGCACGCACGTGCATACATGAGCATGGTGACCATACCTTCTTGTAGAAGTCCATTACATCTATCTATGTTCTAAATCCCACCCCGTTTGGTTGAAAACCAACGGAGTTATAGCTGTTTAAAGTTTCAGCCAATCAGATTGCAGCGCACGTACACGCACGTGTATGTATGTGCAAGGTGACCATACCTTCTTATAGAAGTCCATTATATATATCTTTGTTCCAAATCCCAACCTGTATGGTTGAAAGCAAAGGGGGTTATAGCTGTTTAAAGTTTCAGCCAATCAGATTGCAGCATTCGTACACGCACGTGTATGCATGTGCATTTTGACCATACCTTCATGTAGAAGTCCCTAATATATATCTATGTTCCAAATCCTATTGTGTTTGGTTGAAAACCAAGGGAGTTATAGCTATTTAAAATTTCAGCCAATCAGATTGCAGCGCACGTGCATGCACGTGATTTCGTGATAATTCCTATATATCATTTTGTAGGATATCCTAATGCATGGCTATGTTCAAAATTTCAAAGGATTTCGTCGAAAAACAAGAAAGATATTGAGACTTTAGTTTCAGCCAATCAGAGCGTAGCGCACGTGCATGCTCGTGAGATCATGCCATATTGACCACGTCATCTTGTTTATATTACTAATACATCCTTACATTATGAGTTTCAAAACATTTCATCAAAAAATAGAAAAGTTACGGCAATATACATTATATTGGTCATTCACATGTTGCACGTGCGCGCTCTTGCAAGCACGTGCGCGCAAAATGACCTTCGTTCCGCAAATCTACATAACATGTCTACTGACCCTAAAAACATTTCACCTTAGTTGGATGTGTAGTTTACGAGATCATTCGCGGACAAAAAAGTGCCCAGGAAGAAGAAAAATAATAATAACTAGTGCTAATTGTAACGGGGACCGTTACAGATGTTCCCCAAACGCTCCCCAACTACCTTTTGGTGCCATATTCCCTGTAAGCTTCATTAAATAAGACAAACTCTAT